ATTAATAAGTATGTAGAACAAGCCATTTTATCTTTCACATGTAATGCTAATCAATAAATCCACAGTAAAAATGATGCTGCTAAGAAGGATCCCCTTAAAAACAAAGCTGCATTCTGCCATAGTTAACAGTTTTACAGTTGTTTCAAAATAAAAGCTCAAAACATTTTAGTTTTTATTTTAAATCCCCCACTGAAAATTATCCATTCAGCGCCAAACTAATGCATGAGTCACAGATTGTCCACTTCTGTCATAAAATACAGTTTTAATATATGTAGTGTAATGATTAGGGTCATATATTATGTTAAGTGAAAACCAAACAAAGTACGTGTCAGCCTCTATGACGCTTGCTTGCTATCGGCCGCCATAGTAACGGGGGGAGGGAAGTATAGGTATTTGAGCGGGGAAGCAAGCTGGTGGAGGTGTCTCATGATGTGACCGAAAAGGGAGGAAAAGGGAGGGATGCTCTCATCGTCTTCTGCGCAGCTGAATGGACTTGTTGACAGCCAGTGAAGATCAACGGTTCTGGCATACCAGATGGATGGGGCCATCTGAAGATGCACTTCACATGACACCATGGGGGGCTGGGGATTGGACATTTAGCCAGGGTCCTTGGGGAGAGGGATTTGGGAATACTTTCAATATGTAATTTTCGCACCTTATTTATTGTTTGTTTGTTTGTTTGTTTGTTTGTTTGTTTGTTTGTTTAAACTTCTATACTGCCCTTCTCCCGAAGGACTCAGGGCGGCGTACAGCCATATTAAAACAAACATATACTCACAAAATTTAAAAACAATTTAAAATAAATATATAAATTTGGCCCTTAAGTTAAAAGCTACAAAAACCCAATTTAAAATTCATTTTTTTAAGCCAGCCCGGCCTGTTGGAATAAAAGAGTCTTAAGGGCACAGCGAAAGGTACGTAGGTCGGGGATCATGCGAACTTCCAGGGGCAGTTCATTCCAGAGGGCAGGTGCCCCCACAGAGAAGGCTCTCCCCCTGGGTGTCGCCAGTCAACATTGTTTGGCCAACGGCACCCTGAAGAGTCGTATTGTGGGAGCGTATTGGCCGGTGGGAGGCTATCGGTGGCAGAAGGCGATCTCATATATACCCAGGTCCTAAGCCATGGAGCGCTTTAAAGGTGGTAACCAGCACCTTGAATCGCACCCAGAAGACCACCGGGAGCCAGTGCAGCTCATGCAGGAGAGGTGTTACATGGGTGCGCCGTGTCACCCCCATAATCACCCGCGCAGCCGCATTCTGGACCAGTTGGAGCCTCCGAGGGGAGCCCCATGTAGAGAGCATTACAGTAGTCCAGACGGGACGGGACGAGGCGTGAGTGACCGTGCGCAAGGCATCCCAGTCCAGAAAGGGACACAACTGGTGAATCAGGCGAACCTGATAGAAAGCTCCCCTGGCCACAGCCGTCATATGGTCTTCTAAAGTCAGCCGTGCATCCAGGAGAACACCCAAATTGCGAGCCCTCTCTGAGGGTGTCAAGATCTCGCCACCAATAGTCAGCGATGGAGCTAGCTGGCTATATCGGGACGCCAGAAACCACAGCCACTCAGATCTTGCGTTTCTTTCATTGCTATCAGTTCATACTCAATAATGAGTATGAACTGAGTAGTTTTACTACTACTTTAACTATTAGCCACCTAGAGTCATGTATGAGATGGGTGGCCATATAAAACAAACAAATGTCATTTGCTAATATGTCAGTTGGCTGTACATGTATTTATTTTTAATCAATATATGATCACCTTTGTAAATTATCAGATTGGACTCTCACTTAAATAGTGGCAGTGAAATGATACTAACAAAACATATTACAACTATAATTCAATGTGGGCAATATATAGTAGTTTGTTCTTTAGTTTATGGATTTAAAGTAACTAGAGTAGAATTTGTTGGTGGAGATTTTAAAGTTTTGTGCACATTTTTTGCTTGTGTAATATTTCCCTCCATAAATATTGGGAGTTAATATATTTGTTTAACACCCCTATTTGCAGCTCTGGTAATGTGACAAAAACACCATTGCAGGGCAAACTGTCTTTTGGAAATGTGTGAGATCATGATACCCACATGGGATGAAGTTTATGGTGTTTCAGCACAAAATTGCGTTCATCCAGGGGTGAAATGTAAAATTTGTTACTACCGGTTCTGTGGGCGTGGCTTGGTGGTGGCGGGTAATGTGACTGGGTGGGCATGGCCAACTTTTTTTAAAAAAACTTTTCAAAGCATTTTTTTCTACAACCTCTTCGGCCGAAGAGGTTGCAAAAAAATGCTTTGAAAAGCCTCTGCCGATCAGGCAACTCAGCTGGGATCATCAGAGGCTTTTCAAAGCATTTTTTTCTGCAATCTCTTCAGCTGAAGAGGTGGTAAAAAATGCTTTGAAAAGCTTCTGATGATCCCAGCTTAGCCGTACGATCATCAGAGGCTTTTTTTTTTTTTAACTTTTAAAAGCATTTTTTTCGGCGGAAGAGGTTGTAGAAAAAATGCTTTTAAAAGTAAAAATGATAGTGCGGCTCAGCTGGGCATGGTGGGGTGTGTGCAGGGATTTTTGCTACCGGTTCTCCGAACCACCTGCTGCCATCGCTACCGGAACAGGCGATCAGGTCTGAACCGGGAGCATTTCACCCCTGCTTTCATCAAATGAATCTTGACCACCCTCTTGGATGCCACTACTGGCCTACCTGCAGTATACAGTCAACCTAATTTTTTAAGAAGTAACTATTAGAGATTAATAAAGGAGAATATTATAAGTCAGGGTTGAAATGAGGGGCTCTTTGTGCTCTTTGAGCTTGGTTGTTTTCTTGCAGATATTTCATTGCCCAAACAGGTAACATCAGTGCACTGATATTAGAAATTAGTTGCCTCTTGCAGTAAAAAATTAGAATAATACTTGTTTTTTTAAAATCTTCTAAATTGAAATTAAGGTTTATAATATGTTATCTGGCAAATAAATATATAAGTTTGTTATTTTCAAACAGAGTAAGTGGGTCATTGAGATACCCGCAGGAAGTAAAAAGGAGTCTAATATTCTTATTACTGGCAAATAGCCTTTTAAAGCAGGGGAGGACAAGCTTTTTACATTCTACTTGAGGAGTAGAAGATGTACAGCCAGTTATTTCATTACGATGGCCAATTCATGATTGGCCCAATAAAATGCTGGATTTGTTTTCCCTAGTGCGAAGTAGCCAATTAACACACAATGAGGGAAACTGCAACCTGTTTATTCTGCACAGCACAAAGAGGTGTACTCTTGGGGACTTCATCACAAATTGAGAGCCTCCAGTTAGCATAGCTTTTATACATTTTTGGAAAACAAAGGTATATAAAATATTGTAATATTTGCAGGGCCATTTCTACAAATTAGCAAGCAATAGGCAACAAGCAGCAATGTATTCACATTCCTCTAGAGGTCCTTCTGTCCCTGCCTGATAAAGCTTCTAATTTAGTATGCAAACTTTCTAGCTAATTTATCTGCTACAAGAAAAGGGGAGTTTAGTGCATTCTAAGTTTATAATAAGAAGAGGGTCCAGTCTTGTTTCCATTGCTAGCCTCCTTCAGGATGGTTCAAGTTCTTTGATAAAGCTATCACAAAGCCTTCAAGGAATTTTAGGGCCAGGATGTGAGGCCCTGAAATGAGACGTTCTAAAGACAGAAAGTTTCTCAGCAAAATGGGGTTTCTGCAGCTAAAACTAGCTATATTAGTCCTACAATTACATCACTGCAGTGGGTAGAACTAGACTGTAGGCCCTTTTATGTGTTTTGAGTATTAAATTGGTAAAATACCCATTGTCCCTTTATATCCTTTAAAGTCTGGAAAAATTAGCCTGATGGACAGGGGTGTTGAGTATTTTTAACAGGTGAGGTTAGGCCTCCCCAATCTCCTAGAAATGCAAAAAGGGCCAAGACTTTTTATACCTATGCATTCCAGGGGAGTTCTAAAGCTATAAGTGCGGTAATGCAAGACTATATAAAGGCTGCACATTGTTACATACGTGGAAGCAAAGTCTTGTGTGGTTACGCGGGGCAAATTTGAATCTGTAATTCCTGCAGAGATAAATAATCTATTCTAGACTGCTAATCTAGCCAGCTATTTATTGTATTTCCATGCCACCCATGGCTGATGGCCACCCAGGGGATACGAAGTTGGACCTGAGATCGTAACTGCTTGATTGAGAAAGGAGCCCATGGTATGCCCATTCAAGAACCACGCTGGGAGTCAGATGGCCCTATAAATTTTAACATAAAGTTTTTTGTGCCATCTCAGGCAACTGGATTAATTTAGGAATCCTTAAATTAGCATGTTGGGTGATAAAACTGTAGCCAGTGGCTGTCAATTCCTGTTACTGCTGCTATTCTGGTAATTTGGCGATAAATCTAATGACTCCTTGTGATTGCCCTGTTCTGCCGCTGTGCTTGCTATTTGGGATGGCACATTTACCCAACCTATAATTCAGGGTTGCGCTGCTGAGAGCCACAGAGGATGGACTTTGCAATACTTGAAAGATGGTTTTTGTAATACTGTGGCAGTGGCTAATTAACATGGGTTTTCTTGCATTTTAAATTTGCTTTTCAATTGTATTGCTGATAATTTCCCATAAGCCTTAACCAAGAAAAAAGCCTCCCTTTCCGAAACCAGGACTGGCAAGAGAGCATTTTCTTGTATTTTAAAAGTCCATCCTCTGTAGCTCTCACTGCTGAGAGGGAACAAAGCCCGTCTCGCCCCTCAATCGCTCCCCCTTCTCCCTCTCCCAACGCCGAGAGCGCGTGTACGCATGTCCGTGTTTTTTGTTTTTGTTTTTGCCTTCTCCGGCGTGAATCTGAGAAGTCGGGCCGGCAGCGCGCGCTCTTCCGCCAGCCTATTGGAAGCGCTGCCACCGGAAAGCGCCAAGTTCTCCAACTTCAACCATTTGCCACTCCCGCTCCATAGAAACGCCCCGTTGAAAGCCAAGCCGGAGCTACGTAACGAGACGGAGTTCGAAGTTGGCTCGGAGTAACAACCAATCCGAAGAGCGCTCCGGCTTTTGGTGTTTTTTTATTCCTCGAGGTCGGCACGTGAACCGGAACGCCCTTCCTTGAGGTCGACCAATCCCGGTGCCGCCTCACGAACGCCACGCCCTCCTCTCCCCCCCCTCCCGCTCTCTCCCGCGGTGTTGTGCAATGGAGAAGCGAAAGCCCGGAAACTCTTACTCCGATCATCCCCGAAGCGGGCGGCTGTATTTGGAAACATGACCCAGAACTGTAATGGGAGCGACGGCTACACGCAACTCAGCGTTTCTGCGCGTTCTCCCAGCCAGCATCGCCAGTCGGTGGGCCGCGGGACCGCGGATACCAGGTAAGTGCGAGTGACCGCTCCCCTTAAATAGCCCGCGAGGAGCTTGGGAAGCGGAAGGGTCAGCCGCGTTTCCAAAACTTGATGGGAGGGTGCTGATGCCGCGCTCGGGGAAGGGAACGTGTTGTTCGGTGGGTGCGTAATTCGCTCTGCCGGATAAAATGGACAAGATTCTTCTTAAGATGGGTCCTGGAGTGGCTTATGGGCTTCCCTCTAAAGCAGTGTTTCTCAACCTTGGTAGCTTGAAGATGGGTGGACTTCAACTCCCAGAATCCCCCAGCCAGCAGTGCTGGCTGGGTGATTCTGGGAGTTGAAGTCCACCCATCTTCAAGCTACCAAGGTTGAGAAACACTGCTCTAAAGAAAAACGTCGTGTCGGAAATTTATTGCCTATCTTAATATCTTTTCATGTTATCTGACAGAATAAGATGTTCCAATCCTGAAAGAATGTGGGGTTGGGGGGGAGGGAAGAGGGATAAACTCTTGGTCGGGATGATGCTTGCAAGGAATGGCTCTTTGCTTTTGCAGTTGGCTTTATCTGAGGAGAAACCACTTCTAGGGGAATAAATGGATAGTTGAAAGTTGAATACCAGCATTTATTTAGCGTATGGCAAATACATGGACTTATAGTGATTCAAATATTAATGTCCAGTCAAGGACAGCAATAGGATAGCAACTAAAAATAAGCACTGTTAGTATGTGGCCCCAGAAGTTTGCACATACTACAATCACCATATGGAAGAAGGGCAAGCAATGTGACCATAAAGGGGGAAAAATACAATATTTATTTCTAGGTCGTGTTCAAAATTCCTTTGTACTAAGTAGTTAAAAAGAAGTTCCATTTCTCACTATGTAGCACAAAAAGAAAATGGACTCTGGAAAAGAAGGTGCTCTCCTCCTGCAAAAGTATTGTGTTTCCTTTCTCTTTGGTTTGCCTTGAGATTATATGAAATATTTTCTGGATTTCAGAGGAGAAAAGGAATCCTTTTCACATTATGTAGCTAATCTGAGAATTGCCAAATATTGGATGATATTCTGAAAGGCAAACTTAATATTTTATAGTGCTTTAGAATTGACTGAGATATGAACAGGATGTCTGGGAAAGCTAGATGCTGAAATAAGGGTAGAAGGAAAATGCATTTTGGCATGATCAATGAGGAGAGTTTCCCGGGTTAGAGGAAGTTCAGAGGTGGGTTTTTTTTTTTTTGTTTTTTTTTACAGATTCAGAGCAGACTAAATCTTACCATAATAATTCTAAATTCTGTTATGATAAAAAGTATATTAATGGGAGGTAGAACCGCTGGACATAGCCACACAGCTTTTGGTATAACTTTGATGGTAGAATTTTGGCACTGTTGAAATGGAATGCCCTGCAAGTACTTCATTGGCACTATTAATATTTGAGGGAAATATAACCAATAAGGAGAGGACTGAAAGATACATTGATTCTTATTCTCAGGGAATTATTATATAGAAGAGCTAAGTTATAATAGGATTTGTCCGGTTTTGACTTAATGTAACAATATTTGATCCCGATCATGGATACACAACAGTTGAGAGACCAGCACATGTGGAGAAGCTAGGAAATGTTAAACATTTATACAGTACTTTAAAAAAAAAGTGATTTATTCCTCATATCTTACCTTGTACATTTAGTTATTACGCCATAAACTCTCACTATGCTGCCAGGTAAAGCTTTGCTTTTTATTTTACACCTAGAACACAAACCTTTCTGTGAGGCTGTGCATATGTTGGTCCCTCAGCTGTCAAGCAGCTAGGAAACCACTAATCTGGAATATATCCTAAATTAAACTATTAGTGGCATTTAGAATATCTTCTTGTAATATAAGTTAGCATAGCATTTAAGCCATCTGATGAGGTGGGTTGTAATTAATACAGTTTAAGTCAGTTTAATTTTTGCTTAATACGTAGATTAGCAATAAAATAAATTATTATGATGGGTTATTAAAATCTTGTGTATTCCTAAAAATTTTATTCAGTTGTAAGCATGGAATCTCATATCACTGTTTTATTGTACAACGTTTTTTAGTGTGTGAGACAGTAGTAATGTTGCCATAATGTGATGTTCATTAGGAAAAGTGTCATTACTATACTTCAATTTTTACTATTGCTATTCTTACAACTGGTAGAAAGAAAACATTTTTAAAATTTGATAGAAACTCCGACTCAGGTATTGTTTGTTGACAATACATTTATATTAATAATGTAGCATCTAGGGTACATCTAGAAAGATCTGATTGAGAGAAAGAATTTACTGTATGTTTTAAAATGTCCTTTCTGAACATTGCTAAGTTTTTATTATGTTTGTTTTTTTATTATAGAAGCAAATGTATTACTGACTTTTTCAAACCAACTGTCAAACAAGGTAAGCAATGTTTCTTTTAATTTAGATATCTTTGTGGCTTTTTGTGTTGAGTGGCCTTTACATTTGATTTATATATAAATAAATGTATGTTAAAATTTTTATAAAGTTGTCCTCCAATGAAAAATCATATGCAGTTGTATACATTAACAAAATCAGAATTTCAAAAGTTGTGATTTAATGCGAGGAAATGTGATATATAGTGCCATGCTTCTTAGCTAGACAATGGAAGGGATAAAGTTCATAGCTAAAACAAATATGAAATATGGTAATGTTCTGTACTTGTTAATGAATGTTTACTGATTCATAGAGATTTTATGAACAACTGCATGTATCTCATAAAATGGACTAGAAATGAAGCCGGCTTAAGAAATATTTTTCCAGATTTAACCACTTTCCTTCACTTTGAGTGCTGTGATGTAGAGGTATTTGGTCTGGACTACTGTTATTATAGTCCCTTTTTGGTAGATTCTTCTGCTTCTCTCGTCCCAGGAATTACACGTTCCCCCTTTTGTGATCATATTTTCTGAGGACTGGTGAAAACAAATGATGGTTCTATTATTCTTCCTTAGTGGATCCGCTGACAATTGGGATGGAATTATGCTATTATATAGGCAGTTAAATTTCCAAATCTCAGTAACTTGAAGGAACTAAAACAATTTGGTAATAATAATGTATTGGAATAGCTGTCCCAAGATTGGAATATTACAATTACAACGTTTCTCCTTTAATCCACATTTCTTAATATTATCTACAACTGCCCTTGTCTTTGATCACTGACCATACTAGTTGAAGCTGATTGAATGTTGCCATCCAAAATAACAAGAGAAAATAAATTGCCTGAAAATAGGTCTACACTGATGGTAGTGTCCCTTATGTTTTTCCTATTGTTGAAATGCTGGGTTCTCTTACCTGCAAAGTATTTATTGGTATTACTGAGCAGTTAGTATTCTTACAGCTCAGTGATGGCTAACCTTTTTGCCATCGTGTGCCAGGAAAGGGGGGACCGCGGGGGGTGCGTGGCCACACTCATAATTCTATGCGCCCCATGCATGCGTGCATGATCCCCCCCTCGCTCCTGGCATGTGATGGCCCCGTAGGCCCGTTTTTCTTCCTCCCCAGGCTCCAGAGCCTTTCTAGGAGTCTGGGGAGGGCAAAAATGCCTTCCCCACCTCCACCCCCGCAAGGCCCTCCGGAGGCCAAAAACGGCCCGTTTGCCAACTTCTGGTGGGACTGGAAGGCCCATTTTTCTCCCCCCAGCCTCCAGAGCTTTTCTACGAACCTGGAAGTTGACAAACGGGCTGTTTTTGGCCCCAGAGGTCCTCCGGGGGGGGTGGGGAAGGCCATTTTTGACCTCCCCAGGTCCTAGAAAGGTTCTGGAGCCTGGGGAGAGAGAAAAACAGGCCTTCCCCACCACCCCCTGAGGCCCTCTGGAGGCAGGAAACAGCCTGTTTCCCTACTTCTGATGGGCCGAGAAGGCCCAAAAATCAGCTGTGGAGCTGAGCTCGCGTGCCCACTGATATGGCACGCATGCCGTAGGTTCGCCATCACGGTTATAGCTGATACTTTTCTTGCTGTGAAATATAATTCAATTGTATGACTTAGACCAGGGCTGTCAAACCCGCGGGCCAGATGCATCACGTGCTGGTCATGCCCATGCCCGGTTTAGCAAAGGGGAAAAAAGTTGCGATATGTCACATGATAACAATGTGACAACACACGTTTGACACCCCTGACTTACACCATAGGCAAACAACATTTTTTGACTCGAAGAACCCATTGCATGTTTTTGATTCTCTTGGAAAGATTTAATCTTACCTAAAGAGATTCCAAACAATGTTTTGGAAAGGATATTCCTCTCAAAAATCTAGTAGGTGGTGCAGTATTAACCTCTTGTTCAAATAATTTCACCCAAAGACATATATATTTCAATAAATATAAAAAAAATATTTAATTATCAATAGTCAGGGACTTATACTGGCCTTTGGAATATGACAATTGTGACATGCTTCATGAGATTCTAGAAATTGTGTATGATTAATCTGTTATTCATTTCTTTCACATGTATTAATGAAGACAGAACTGGGTTGTGCTCTCCAGAAAAAGGAAACGGACAAGCTGGACATACAGTTTCATGTGTAGACCATGTTAAAAAGAATACATCATCTTCAAAGCAAAATAGAAAGAAGAAATTGCCTTGTTCACCATCAGGCAGAAGCCCAATAATTGATGCTTTATTCCGAAAGGCTAAGTCAGAGAAAAACAACAGTTCAGAAAATGGTGTTTGCATGAAATTTAGTCATCCAAAACCTGTGGTTCGGAGACTGTTCATATCTAATGCCTTACCTGACGGTTCTTTCCTATTAAAAGATCATATTAACACAACAAATTTGGAAGGAAATGAGAACTATCCTGTTCAGACAAGAACACATTTAATAGATAATGATAGTAGACAACATAAAACAGAACATGAAGACCTAGACACAACTGGTTCAAGCTTGAATAAATGGCCTTCCACTTCAGGAAATAACAGTCTGAAGAGCCAGGTAACTCAGTGTCAAAAAACAATCTATTCCAGGTTGCCACAAGTCAGTCCAATTAGTTCTTCATCTCCGAAATCATTAGGAACCGTTGGCAGAAAGAGACAAAAGAAGGTGAAAAAAACTGCACCGTTGTTTCTGAAAATAAATCTTTAGAAATTATTTTTTTCTATTCATGTATATTTAAAGAATAATAACTGCAGAGCTTATTAATACAGGTAGTCCTTGACTTATAGCAACAACATTTAGGCCCATAGCGCTTTACAGCACTCTCTGGGATAGTTTTGCCGTATAGAAGCATTATTTGAATATTGCCTGCAACAATCTGGGTCCTCGTTTTACCAACCTTGGAAGGATAGAAGGTTGGGTCAACCTTGACCCCGTCAGGATTGAACTCTAGGCTGCACTTTAACCACTGCATCACCAGGGCTGAAACCGGTCACTTAGTTCAGAGTTATAGCAGATACTCCCCTCAAAATTACTTACCGCCTGATTCCAAAATTATGGCCAATGTAGCGCCTCTGCAGTTGTTCACCCTTATGACTGGCTGTATAAATGCTGCAGCGCCCCCCACCCCATTTATTTCCTCCCTTTCTCCACCCCCACTGGGTCCCTGCAGGCCTTGGGTCTCCTTCCCACCTTCTCCTGCCCAACACCTTCCTCACCTTTTGAAGATCTCAGGAACTCGGGTTAGGGAAGAAGGATAGTTTGCTCCGTTCCTGGGCCACATGGTGTAATCCTGGAAGTACCCACCATGTTTTGGGCAGCCACATTGAATTGTGGGTACTCCAAAAGTAGCAGCTAATTCCAGGATTGCACCACACAGATCAGGAATGGAACAGCTTACTCTGCATGGCACAGTGCAGAAATGGCTGTCATTTTTTCTTTGACTTTAAAATAATTATCCTAATTTTATTAAGAAAGCGAGGGTTTAACCCAGTGTCCTAATGCAGGCTCTACTGCAGCTATGAGCTCATAGTTTCTTCTACAGCTCCTGGCCCTCAAAATCACAAATCCACCAGAAGAACTCTGCAATCTCCTTGTGAGGAGCAACCTTCTAGAGCTCAAGAGGGTGGTCTCTTGGCTTTTCCTTGTCTGGCTTAATGCCTGAGTGCTGGTCTTGGGCAAAATGTTGTCTCCACTCCTTTGAAGAGTCTTAACCTGCCATTTCCTCACCCAGAAGCCAAAAAAAGCTCTAAATGTTTATTAGGTTTTTAATTGTACTAAACCATAATGTAGTTGGGTTTTACATCACTGTGTTATGTGACAGTAGCAATTGTGACACAGGCTATCTTTAGCACAAATTCTGAACTTGGCCAATGTAATTATTTTCTGAGGAGAGAGGTGCTTCACTTTGATTGGTTTACTATAAATTGAAACTCCTTTCTACCTTTGAATCTGTTTAAATGTTTATCAGTTCTAAATTTATTACTTCTTCTAAGATGCTGTGATTCTGCAGGTGATATTTTAACTGCTTCAAATAAACAGTCATGGTACTGTTTAAGCCTGAAATGTCTGCTATACTGAAAAGATCTATATTCTGTAAAAGCTTACCTGTATATTCTAAAACCTTTTTCTGTATATTCTTATTTTAAGGGCATCAAAGATTTCTTAAGAAAAAATTCAAGCTCAGCTTCACTGGAATCTTCTTCAGGTACAAACAGCAACGTAAATGATGTAACATAAAATTTAAAAATATATATGCTATCTCATTACACCTTGGCTATTATTCAAATAAATTATATGGCCACCCCTCTTACAACAATGACTCAGGGCATCATATAAGAATTAAAGCAATGAGAACATCCATATGTAATCCACAAAGCCTGAAGTTAAAGGGAAAAGAGCCCTCATTCCAATCAAAGAATCCACATCAGAAGTAGATCTCACCTAACCACCAAATTTTAGGAGTAACAGCCAGGTCTTCAAAGCCTTGAGAAAGTTTAACACTGTCAGGACAATACAGTTTTTGGAGGGATGTTATTCCACAGGGCAGGTGCTGTCACAAAGAAGGCAACTCCTGGTTGCAATAGCATGGCACTGTGATGGAAAGAACCTGGAAGATGCTCTTTGCACAACTAGGGCTTTATAGGTGATAACCATCACCTTGAATTGCATTCAGATGGCTACTGAGAGTGCAGTTCATGAAACAGCAGTGCTATATAAATGTAGCAAGAAATGTCAAAACACGCCTGTGCTGCAGTTTTGTGGACCAGCTGCAGCTTCTGAATGCTTTTCAAGGGCAGCCCCATGTAAGATTTGTTTCAGAAATCCAGATGGAATATAACTAAGGTATGATTCACCATGACTAAGGCTTTTTTGGTTTGGGAATGGATGCAATTGTTGCACAAGATGAACCCACGCAAGGCTCCCCGCTCCCACCCACAGTTGCCACCTGTTCTTTAAATTGCCTATCAGATCAGCAGCTCCTGGCCCTCAAAGTCACATAAATTATATGCCAGGCAGAATTAAAGATGACAAGTCTCTGGAATCAGTGGGGGAAGGGGCTTTATATTCCGCAGCTATCCAGTCTTACTGGAGTTGAGACAAAGCCTTTTGTCCCCCACAGTCCTCGGGCACTGGGAAAGGTTCTTGGCAGCATTGCTTGGTTGGCCCATGGTGGAAATGTAAAACTGGGTATTATCAACATAGTAACCTCACCCAGCAGCTTCATGTAATATGTTAAGTAAGAGTGGGGAGAGGATAGATCCCTGAGGAGCTCCACAAAGCAGGGACCTCTAAGACTGACTGGAACTAGCCTTGAAGAACAGAGAAACAATATTAATATAGTGTCTCCTAATGCCCTGAGCCACCAAGAAAGATTCTGTGACTGATGGAAGGCCACTGTATTCCATTTGCAAAACAATTCTATACATAATTATTTGGAAGTAAATCCCATAGAATTAATTAATAAAAAAAGAAGGGCACTCTGTAGCAAGAGCTTCAATGTCATGCATGCCTTTTAGCTCCAAAATTCAGAGTTGCTTACATAACTTTTAAGCTATTATCTTGTTTACTATCCCATTATCTCTAGCTGACTGAACTTGCTAAAGGTCGTAATTTTAAAAACTGATACCTATTTTTCAGACTAAAAATATTTAAAATTATATTTTTGTGAAGATGTCATTTTAAATCCTAACTCCAAATTTATATATGCTATGAATGTTTAAAAAGCTACATTTATAAACCCAAGTATATTTACTTATTGCATTTTTTAACTGCCCATCTCACTCCTTGGGATGATTTCAGGTGGCTTACAGTATAATAGAAATATAGATTAAAACATATTCATTGGTTCATCAGTTTCTTATATTTTTTGATGTTTCTAGTCTTCTTTTTACTCATTAAAAGAGCAAGAACTTACATACTTACAGAAGAGAATATATGTAGCTTAGGGTTGAACTGTGGAGTCCTTGGTGCTGTCTGAGCTTGGTTGTTTACTCAATTGGGTAATCTCTTCAGGGATTAGCATGTAAACAACCAAGCTCAGACAGCACCAAGGATTCCACAACATACAAACTTCTGACCTTGTAAGATATTGTTTTGTAACTCTCTTATCTCTCACATTTTTTGCTTAATCTTGAGCTATGAACTTTATTCATAGCTTAACATTTTTTAACATGCTATTCATAATTTATTAATTTCATAACAATAGTATTGAACTACTTTAGGGAAATAAATACAGTACCCAGTTCCTACAACATTTAATTTCCTGAGGTTGACCGCTTCAAAATGTATACTGCTTAACATTATACATTTTGTGTATGTGCATGCATACAAGAGGAGAGAACAATCATGTTCATTATTATTTTGACCATTTGAATAGTTAATAATGACAGGAATATACAGTGTAATCATCACTTTATTTTCATTTTACAGATGAGTCTTCTTCAGCACAAGCTTCGAAAAGTGTGTTTCGTTCAGGATTAAACTCTGATAAAACTATTGTTACAAAAAGCCAGCCCAGTCCAACAGCATATTCCAGTGCTACAACTTCATTTGGAATAGCTAACCATAAACATCCTAGAAAACGGAAAAAGATTTCATCAAAAACAAATGTGAAAAATTTACAGAATGTTCAGACGCTAAATAAACACAAACGTCGTAGTTCACGAATTTCCCATAGTACTAATTATTCAAAACACAGAATATCTGCTCACAAGAATTTCCAGCCAGCAGATATAGACTGGTCTAGCAGTAACTTGGCTATTTCAGTAGAAAAATCTGAAGCTGAAGAAAATGAAATTAAATCATATAAATACACTATAAGTAAAAATGACCAAATCCAAATTTCAGATACTAGCAAGAGGAAATTACAGACATCTACTCCTCTTATTTATTTAGAAACAAGAAGAAATAATGCTTCTACAGTTCCTTCAGAAAAAATTGCTGAGCCACTTGGATGTTCTTTGGGAGAGTGTGACAGTGTTGTCTCACTTGAAGATTATACTTGTGACACTATTCCTAATTCTTCATGTAATTTAAATAAATCTAACAATGAAGCGTATGAGTTAATTCAAAAATTAAAGAGCATTTCTGATAGTGATGCTGAGGCTTCTGATTGCAGTGTGGACAGTAGTGAAGAAGAGGCACTCATCCCTCTTGAAAAAATATTATACCAGAGTGTCAACCCAGCTGCAAAAAAGTCAGAAGAAGCTATGGATGAGGATGAAATAGCGAGCACAAATTCTACAACACATAATGCTTCTGTAAGTAATTGTCTTTGGTTAGAAAGTCTTATCTACTGCGATGACCATAGGTACAAATATCCTCATGAAAACCAACTCTTTACTTGTACAGTTCCTAGCCCTACTTTTGTTGTTGTTAGTTGCGAAGTCGTGTCCGACCCATTGCGACCATGGACACCGTTCCTCCAGGCCTTCTTGTCCTCTACTATCCTCTGTTGTCCATTTAAGCTCATGCCTACTGCTTCAGTGACTCCGTATAGCCACCTCGTTCTCTGCCGTCCCCTTCTTCTTTTGCCGTCAATCTTTCTCAGCATTAGGCTCTTCTCCAGTGAGTCCTTTCTTCTCATTAGGTGGCCAAAGTATTTGAGTTAGCCCTACTTTTTAAAACTTTTAAATATTGGTATAATTTTACATGAAAAAAAATGCCAGAAAACCCTCATTATAATATGAAGATAGCATCTGTCTTTTTAATTGAATCTACTGTATATGCCGTATATTAGAAAGCCATTGCAAAAGGGAAGATATTTTCAAACACGAGTAGTTTTAGACATCTGAACATACAAAGTAATATTTGCCAGAAAATTGTTTCTCAATTGGTCTTGCTTGTGGTGAAAACTTTTGAAACTTTGTACTTGTACCTCATAGGAGAAAAAAAACCATATTGACTTATTCTTGTGATTAGCTCAGTCACTGTTTTTCAGTTAATAGGTTGCAGTCTATATGAGGACTTGTGACTAACAAACAATTTTTTTAAGAGATCATGTTTTTTCCCCTCTGATATTCCACTTATTACATTTTAGATACAGGTACTTCTTGATTTACAAACATTCATTTAGTGACGTTTAGTGAAGTTACAGTGGCATTGAAAAAAGTGACTTATGACTATTTTTCATGCTTATAATTATAAGCAGCATCCTTGTGGTCACAAGATCAAAATTTGGACACTGGCACATATTTAGGATAGCTGCAATGTCCCAGGGTCACTTGAACACCTTTTGTGAGCTGACAAGCAAAATCAGTGGGGAACCAGATTTGCATAATAACTGTCTAACTGAACAACTACAGTAATTCACTTAACAACTGTGGCAAGAAAGGTCGTAAAATAGGGCAAAACTCACTTAACAAATGTCTCACTTAACAACAGAAATTTTGGACTCAACTATCGTAAGTCCTTGACTTACGTAATTGATTTTCAGTGTGTCCTAGCTCATTCAAGCGTTTTCTTGAATAAATATCTAATAAATGTGGATATTAAGTGTAATAGCTGTGATCTGAAAATATTTATATATGTTTTTCATGGACTTTTGCTTCAGCTTTCTAAAGCTTTTACTGAGCGTGGGGCCTCATACATGAATCATTTGGAGCATCTCCTGAAAGAGAAGGAAGAGTTAAGGAGGTATGCATACTTACCTTTCTGGTCCGTCCTCATTTATGCAATTACGTATTATTGTTTAGAACATATTTATAACTTGGCTGTTACTTGCATTTCATCTGCCTCTTGGCAAGTGAGCTAAGTTTTGCTTTTACATATATAATGAAAAAGTATTTAATTGTTAGATTAAAAAAGTTTTTTTAGAGGAAGGTGTAACTTGACTTCATGTAGGTATGAGAGAGCCTAGAAAGAGAGAAGAAAAACGGGCAAATGTAAAAACAGATAAATGTTGAAGGTTATTTTCAAGCAGACAGAGCAAGAGATAACCTTCCTCTTTATGGCTTTAGGACATTACAAAAGGGCAGTTAACAAATGTTTCCAACTTATTTCTTGGGACAGCTAATTAATGACTTAAAAAAAATAATAAAAGGACAGTAATAAAGATTTATCACTTGGGGGTGGAGGGCAGTGAAATTAGTAATAAACTAAAGCAAAGACTACCAGAATCTTAGTAGTAGTAATAAATAAAGTTTATAGGGTCCTGGGCATTCTGAGCCTGGTTGTTTGCAGACGTTTCATTACACAACTTGGTAACATCAGTGCTAATGAGGATGGGGTTGTAGCCCATACTCTCTGTTTATATGCAGTTCCCCGTTTATATACAGTAGCATGCCCTGCCAGTGTTAGTGATTATATGCTTTTTTTCCTTGTTATTCCTTGACTGGGATATTGTTTTCTGCTTGCTTGTTTGTCTGGTGTTAATCCCCGCCAAATCCCTCTCACTTGCACTGATGATGTTACCTACTTGGTAATGAAACATCTGCATGCACACAACCAAGCTCAGAGAGCGCCAAGGACTCCCCAGTTCAACCCTGAGCTACATATATTATTCTATTTATTTATTATTTATTTATTTGTAAAATGTAATGGCTGCTCATCTTACCAGAGGATAACTGTCGCTGGCTTACAGTTATAAAAATATGTCTATACATACAATATATATACATTAAAACAAATTAAAACCAAACATTAAAATATAAGGACATGTGAGGAGGGGGGGTGGAGGGGGGGATCTGTTGTTACTCAATCAACAACCTCCACTCTGCTATTCCCCCACTGGGCCCCCAAGCCAGCTGGCAGAGCCACGCTTTTAGGCCCTTACAAAAGGATATAGAAAGATTATCCATATCCCATCCATAAGGAAAGATGAGGTAATAGCTGCAGAAGTGATGTGTGAATAAAATAATGTTACGATTTGTTGTAGAAGCTGGTTAATGCAGTAATTTTCTCTTAAGAACAGTTTCCCAGTTTCTTTGTGTAGCCCACTCTCTCACCTTTCTATACTGAAAGTATCTCAGATTGTTTGTCCTACCACTTTAAAGCAGACAAGCCTGCTTTACTGTTTTCAGTAGAAAAGAACTGACGTTGAAATAAATCTTTCAGCACTTTTATTTTATTACCAGAAATGTCCTTACATCATGTTACAGTACATGCTTATAAATTAGATAGCCACATGGCTACCAGATTTTATTTTAAAATAAAATCAGGAGAAGTATCTTCGGTAATACTACTATCTTGCCATATAAACTTGCTGGAAAGTTTGTTTTTATAACCAGGGATCAAGATTCTTTTGAAAGAAATGTTATCTCTCTTTTTTAGGGTAGATGAATTAGAGAACCAATTACAGCACGTTAAAGAGATAGTTGGAATAAACTCTGAACCTGAAGATCAATCTACTGATGGTGAATTATCTGCTGAACATAGGTTGGTCCTCTGATTTCAGTTGCTAATTGCTTTCTCATGTTGTTACGGTTAGTTATATTCATACTGTTTGACATATTTATTAGTCATATTCATACTTTTTGTCATATTGACTTCTGTAATCTACTCCTTTTCTTAGCTTTCTAGTTATTTTAACGTTATACTTGTTTGGATACATTGTCATTTAGTATCTGTATTTATGTATCCTGCTCAGCCACGGTTTGATGTAATGTTTATCAACATCCTAAGCAAGATATATACATACATAAATACATAACTATGTTTTAATACAGTACATGAACTTAACATAACTCTGAGTTGCTCTGACTCCTAACGTTTTCCTCTTTTCATAGCAGCTGCTTTATAGGATATCCTAAAGTTAGCTAGAAAGGAGGTATAAAGGGATTGAACATGAGTTACATGCTGTTTAAATAAAAATCTCATCCAGGTCAATAAACTGAGGTGAATTAACATCCAAATTATTGTGCTTTAAATACTTTTTAGTGTATTTCCAGATATAATTTTGTCTTTCAGAGAATTTATAGAAAAATACTCATTCAGCCAGGATGCTATTCCCGACCAGCACCCTGGAGAAAACATATTTCAAATAGTGAATGCTGGGAAAATCTTCAGCCAGAATAATCTTGATTTGAGAAACTTTGGTTTTCATCCTCGAAATCTAATTGAAAATTATCTTCTTAGGTAAGAATGGATCCTTTAACATTTGAATGTATAGGCTAACTTTGAACATATCAGATCGAACCTTAATTTGTGGTTGTTTTTGCAGATCTGGAATAACACAGCAGCTTTTTGTAACTATTGAAGGCTTACTTGCATCTACTTACCATAATTCTCCTTGTCCCGTACCAATTTTAAAATGGATGTTTCAGGTACGTTATCTTTTATTTTGCCTTGGATGGATATAATTAAATACATAATGAGTATGAACTATCATTAGTTCACAACTTTAGCTTAGTTTTCTGCATTGCCTGTTTCCACTTTCTCATTCTTGACTGTTAGTTGGTAGAACTTGATCATTTGCCAAATACAGAAAAGTGGAGGTGGGTTTTTTAAACATTTTTATCCAGTATTCCTGCCATGTTGCGGTGTCAATAAGAATAGTATTAATGTATAGAATGAATATTCTCATTTCATTTTACTTCATTTAGAAAATAGTTATAAGATTATATTCAATAATGCTAAAAATTTATCTGACGTTTTGCATTTCACATTTTCAGTGTGCTTGCCTGTTGTTTTTCCCTTCTACTTCTTTAGGAGAATGTACTGTTTGTTTTTAACATGTTGGATGTAGGAATACCAAAAGTACTCCAGATCATTGGTTTTGTCTGAGAAGCTAGTCAGTTTAGTAATTATTTTATCCTTATTCCCACATCAAAAGGGGGTTCCATAAGGATATGTATAGCTTTTAGAAAAAGCTGTACTGCATTTGAACATAGTGTTTCAAGAAATCATTTGCTAAATTGTTTACAAATCACTATATTCTGTTATGAGGGATCAGGTGTCTCTTTTTTTTAAAAAAAATTAAAATACATTTGAAGATTTGAAGAATTATTAATGGCACAATGGCTGCAATAGACCTATGTACTCACAAAGGACAAAGTAAAAGTTGATACCAAACAACAAGTTTGCTTCTAGACAATACCACAAAATATCAATTTCAGAGAAAAAAAGGGTGATGTTTTGAGAAACACTGAATTCTCAAAAGCATACTAGTAAAATGTTCTTCTCAAACATGCGCAGCAAATTTAGAAGAAAAAATAATCTGTGAAGCATAGAACTGTCTTCCTTTCAAAAACCTCTAAAAAAGCAAAGACAGAACTTAGCTGGCTGGGAATGTTTCAGAGAAAATTTGCAGTCCTATTCCAGTGTTTCTCAACGTTGGCAAGTTGAAGATGGGTGGACTTCAACTCCCAGAATTCCACAGCTAACTTTGGTTGAGAAACACTGTCCTATTCTATTCTTCCAAAGAATTGGGGCAGGAGGAGGATCAGGTTGTAGCAGTTTCTTATGATACTCAAAGGCATCATGTTGCAATCCCAGTGTTACGAGCTGTTGTATTAGGTTCTAACTAAATCTGTAAAAAATGTTTTAATTTGCTAAATATGTTTTTTTTTTCAAACAGATGATGTCAATTCACTCAGATAGCACAGTTTCAAGAAAAATTTTGGATACGTTGATGCTATTAACAATTAGAAATTGTAAGTATTTGAATTAAAACTTGAGACTTTATAACCTTACTTGCTGCATAAATTATTCAAAAGAAACCTGATTAGATTCTGCTGTTACTTTAAACTGATTAAGATAAAAAAAAGTGATGTGAATTATAGGATTCCTATTCCAGATTGTGCCTTATAGCTTTACCAATATAATCAAAAGTATGTTAGTATATCTATATAGAAGCTGGAATTAAGTTGATGCAACTAATTGATAGCAAAACAGATTCAAGGAGGGGGCTTTAGAATATACAATTTAAAAGATATTCTGTGCAGATACAATATTTTCATCCATTTTCTCAGCTTTATAACATTGATTGTATCTCACCGGTTCAAAGTTGACTCAGCCTTCCATCCTTCCAAAGTCAGTAAAATGAGGATTCAGATTGTTGGGGGCAATATGACTCGGTAAGCCGCTTAGAGAGGGCTGGAAAGGACTGTGAAGCGGTACATAAGTCTAAGTGCTATTGCTATTCCTATTATAGATATTTGCCCTTCTGAATGTTATTATATAGAGCAGAAGTACAAGAACAATAGGAAGAATATGTAAAAAGTACAGTTTGGTTCAAGAAACATAACTGCTATAATTTCAAATGTATGTTGTAATCATATCACATTTGGTTATTTGTTAATTCTGTCTGCTTACTGAATAAAAAAATTACATGAATAAAAAAATTACATAGTTAAGTGAACTCCAGTTTCTCTAGCCTGAAGAGAAAATTATCATTTTTTATCTCTGCAGTTTCTGATAAGAATGACAAACAGAAGCCATGGATTCCATCATTATTTGATATAACAGCTGTGTTAATCAACATGGGTATTTCCTTCAGTGTGTTATTTCCTTTGCAACATTGTCAGCCTTGCTTTACTGAAAATGATATTATGAAAGTATTTAGCAAAAGGTAATAATCTGAAGTATGCAATCTTTAGGACCTGTCCAAAAATTTGTCACCAATTAATAATTTTTCATGTAAAGGGAAAATATCTAATAATTTGGAATATTTCTATTAATTGCATTTAAGTAAATTAATTTTAATTAAATGTAAATGTGAATTAAGTCAGATTTAATTTGTGTCCTGGCCCACCCTACTTTTAGAAGTGGGTTTTCCAGCATGTCAGTCGAAGTCCAATTATGACCTTTGTGCTGAAAAAAAATCCCACTTTTGGTGTGTGTGCACACACACACAAAATTCCTCTTCTGTCGATGCAGCTCAGGCAAGACAAAAGGTTGAACAATCATGACTTAAGCCTTTGTTTTTGCGATTTTTCTAAAACTCAGATTGCCACGGGTCTGAAACTTGTTACAGTATGGTCCTCATCCCTACCACATTATGCAATAAAATTACTAGTTTTGAAATTTTAAAATACAGAATATTCTTTCTAGATTATCCCTTCATAATAGGTTACATGTGGGGATGAATATATGTAATTAAAAATATGTAATAAACTGTATGGAAACAAGTCTCTCTTTTTTTAACCAGGTCTGAAATGCATGTAACTGTGAATAAACAATCAAAAAGAGACATCTGTATAAACCCAACAGCTTTCTTTCTTATAATAGAGAGCAATCTTTGCAATATAGCAAAGGTAAGAATGGTGCTTTGTTTTTAAAAGTCCTCGGTTGAGTATAAGAATATGTCTTCTTAACTGAAAATCGTTAGTAGTAGCTGGAATTTTCCTTGCAAAAGTAGTTCAAGATGCACAGGAAAACATTTCTCTAAGACAGAGAAAATTAACAAGAATTTAATATAATAAAACGTGAAAGTTTTTGTTAAAAATCCTTTATATAATATATTGCTGCCTTTAAAAAGTTCACTAGAATCAAGGATACATTCAGAATGTACACACACAAATACTGCTTTTGAAATTGAAAATTAATATTGCTCAAAATATTTGAAGTCATTCTCTCTTTTTCTTTCCTTAAGTTTCTACGGCTGTGTATTAATGTGTGTCCAGAAGGTTACACAGACAGAGAAATATTTATATTGCTACTGCTATTATTTAAATTAAGTTTGGAAACGGAACTGAAGCAATTTCCACTAGTAGACTTGGAGTGCCTTATTATAAAATTGCTTGAAAGTGTCAGAAACTGGGATAACGAGGTAACTTAATTTGTGCTAATTTAATGCATTTTTAGAAGATCCAATTTTTAACATTATAAAAACTCTTAGTATCAATTAACCTTAGGGTTTCTTTAAATTACATGCTCTAATGCGTATGTATATACTGCCTGGTCACTTTGTGTTACCACAGTGGGCAAACCTGCCCAAAAGAAACAACAATTTATTTTTAGTAGTAAAAAATAATTTAGAAAGTGTTATGCAGACTGGATTTTTGTTTAATAACGAAAAAATCTAGAAATCAATAGAGATCTATAAAAGCTATAATTATTTTGATAGTCTGCAAAAGTGATGTTAAAAAAGTCTAAGGTAAAGGTTCCCCTTGCAAATACGTGCTATTTGTTCCCGACTCTAAAAAAGTCTCGTTTGATGTTAAGTGCAAATATAATCAGTGGGTTTAATTACGTTTTGTGGAACTGATATATCTAATAAAATATAGTTAAACCATTTACCAGTAACTGCTGTTAGATGCCTTAAATGGAAATATTTTTGCATAATGGGGGCATTTTAAGTTGTGGTGCTAATAGTCAACTTTTATCTTTTCAATAAATATGAAATATTAAGAAATATTAATGTTATAAGCCAATGCCTATAATCACATGCTATTAATAGTCTTTAAATATAATATTTATATGCATTGTCTAAGAATTGCATACACACTGATACTGAATTTAGCAATTGCTTTCAAATTCTATTAACAAATTTGTCTTTCTCTTTTAAAAAGATGTCCCAGTTATCCTTGGCAATAAGTTGTCTATCCAATCACCATCATAATCTGTTGTGGCTTGTTCAGTTTGTCCCCAATTGGACAACTCGTGGAAGGTAAACTTTAAGACAATACCACTTAGTATGCCTAACAGAATTAATGCCAAAAGCATCAAATTATAATTGCTCACATATTTATGTTTATGTTAACTTTATTCTTCTAGACAAATAAGACGACATCTTAGCTTGGTAATAATCTCAAAACTTCTTAAAAACCATGTGAAAATACCCAGTAGCCATGATCATCAGGTAGAGTATATATTCTTTCATTAGAACAATAGTTTGCTGGAGTTAAGACTTGTTTTCTCAGTGCAGGGAGTTTTTTAATTTCATTTTTTGAATTTGACTGTAAATGCTTGCGTTGTTCTCCCCCCCACCTTTTTTTTTTAATTTGATTTATATGCCGCCCTTCTCCGGAGGCTCAGGGTGGCGTACAATGCATTAAGCAATTCTCTTAAAGTCTTCTAGGAGTCTAACTCAGTTGCTTAAAAATGAGCATGTAGCCTTCTTGACATGCCATGGAGGTAGTTTATTTGGCCTTCTGGATGTTTTTTTTAACTTCCTAGGTTAGTTTGCAGCCCAGGGTTGAATCAGTGCATGGGTCTAATAAGCAGAGCATAAATTCACATTAGTAATCTCACCATCCTGCTAATTCATGTTCCTTCCATTTCTTTGTATGGATAAAAAAATTACTTCTCTTTCAATGGTGTGCAGCTTTCATGTACTTGAGAGCTGCACCCACTATTGCATAGCAAATTGAAAGTTACACCAGAAAATGGATAAGACATCATTTTATTTTTTATATTTTACATAATATATTTAATTTATATTCAATATTTGAATTTTCTAATCATTTAATTTCTCCTATCCTCAGTGTTATGGACTCCATTCTATATTCTGCAGCAAAATTCCTCCCCAAAGCTGCAGCTTATTATGCTATTATATAGAATGAGTGCAAGGTGTAAAAAGGCACAGCATTTAGAATGGGTCTCTGCAAAAGGCAGATATTATGGAGAAAGCCAAGTCAGCAATTTAGGCACACAAAATAATCAGGGAATAGATAGGGGAACTAGAGCTAGACAAAACAGTGGAAATGGTAGAAACAATGAGCAGAAAGTAAGCTAACAGAGGAAAATGTCAAGGACAGCTGTGCTAAGGGGGAGATAAGGTACCAAGTGGAACAGACATTGTCAGCTGCACCCAAATTTTTTGCTTGGCTAAATATGGCCCCAGCACTATATTTTTCATTCTTCTTTTATTTAAACTTGTAAACACAGTTTGTTCAAGGTTGATGTTTAAATTCTAATGTATCTTCTGGAGATTTTCAAAATTTAGATAAAGGGAAGTATAATCTTCATCTACTTTATTTCAATTCAGAACTGCTCATTTTGATATAGCTTGATTCCTCTTGCTGTGATAGTCCCTCCTATTTTATTCCTGGCATCAGGGTTTCAGAAGCTGCATGCATAAAGATTTTGAGAAAACTGCCTCCTACTCCTGCTGCTGCAGTGTTTTAGTTTCTAAAATGATTTAAGATAATTCTTCTCAAGGTTGAAAAAAACCCATAATGTGAACCATATTGCACTCTAATTCCCCAATAGATGTCACTACTGTGTAAGGAGCTAGTGAATATGAAACCTTCAGGTCTGTTAAAGAGGCTGTCAGAAACGTCAAGTCATCGTGATGGTATTACAGAGCCTTTTCTTTCTGAATCTGAGCACCAGGTAATATGTTTTTTTTAAGTAGGGTTAGACAAGATATACTATCTAAACTATATTTATGGTTATTGGTGATATAAGAGATGCTCATGTTTCATGAGGTCACATAACCAAGTTGCTATTCTATGTGCAGCAGAGTGAATATGAGTAATGTTAATGGACTCAATTTGAAAAAATTCCTTCGCTGAAAAGGAGTAATGTGTAAATGTTGATACTAAAAGCAAAGTTCTCTGATCTGATCGTGGTTAATCAAGAAGTTTCTTAGTTCCTCTTTTATTTACGGGAAAAGATTGCTTGGTGTGGAGGGGGGGAGTAAAAGATATATTGTTTAGTTCTGATTCTTGTAACCTTTTTTCTTTTACTTCAATAAAACCCGTTAAGAAAACTCTGTGTGATTCATGTTTGGGAAAAAGATTATTCTCCATTTGAGAACTTTGGCAACTGCCAAAGAGTCTGACATGCAAGTCCTAATGTGCAAGGAGCAGAGTGGCTGGCAATAGTGTGGGAACCCACAAGACGTATAGGGTTTTTTTTCTATGAATTCCTTCCTTTTTTTTTAATATAAACATACAGGTAATCCTTGACTTATGACCACTATTGAACCCAAAATTTCTGTTGCTAAGTAAGGCAGTTGTTAAGTGAGTTCCACCTCATTTTATGACTTTTTGCCACAGCTATTAAGCAAATCATTGCAGTTGTTAAGTAAATCATGCGGTTGTTAAGTGAATCTGGCTTCCCCCATTAACTTTGCTTATGGGAAGCCAGCTGGGAAAGTTAGAAATGATCAAATGACCCGGGACACTGCAACTGTCATAAATACATGCCAGTGGATAAGTACCTAAATTTTGATCACATGATCATGGAGATGCTGCAATGGTTACAAGCGTGAAAACTGGTCATAAGACACTTTTTTCAGTGCGGTTGTAACTTTGAACAATCACTAAAAGATTGGTAGTAAGTCGAGGATTACTTGTATTTTTTAAACATGTTTTAAGAACATAAATTTTCCTACACCATTTGCAGATGCTTGAGAGTTCGACATATAATGATACGTTTTCCCATACAATTGGCACTGATAACTTTCAAGTCTAATGCATGTTTAATGTGCAGTAAAAGAGAAATGTCTGGACTGTGTAAGCCTTATGAAGCACTTCAAAAGCTGAATTACCTAAAAAAAGCCTGGTGGGTTTCTTACCAAGAAACTTGGTAGCCTTTTAACTAACCATTTTTACTAAATGTTGCCTGCTTTTTTTTTTCTAGGCCTATTATCTGACTTATGTCCTCCTTCACTTGGTTAGGGAAGCTAGCAATTTTGAGCGTACAAGTTCCAATCAAAGAGTAAGTAATTTGCTCAAATTCTTTCATTAACATGTATGAGGTTTTTTTTCCCATCAACATACATGTACTGGGGGTTGAAAATCAATGAATTTTGACTAGTGTTCTATTATTCATATAAATAACAGATTCCCATTTCATACATGCTGCTATAATCTTTGATGATGAAGTTTCCATAGACAGTACTTTATTAAGTAAAAAATGACTTGTATAAAAGCTTTTTTATGAAAATTGGTGAAGATCCGGTTATGGATCTCCACCTAATACTGTATATGGAGTACTGAAAATATGGCCATAATTGCAACCCATTTTAGGACTTGAATTAAATTGCTTGTTGGGTTTTCTTCATACTTCCATAAAAATATAGTAGTGAAGTATCAGGCTGCAGTCACAGATCTTCTATTCTGTACTCCGTACTCACTAGCACTGATTATGTTACCTAGTTGTCTACAAACAAACAACCATGTTCAGAGAACACAAAAGGACCTCACAATTTCTAATGCAGCTATGGTAGCCTTGCAAATGATATGGCTGCTTTAATAATCCAAAAAGAAGTGCCTCTTAGATGCTTCCATATATTGGGTTATGTCCCTTTCAGATGTTTTTGGGAGCTCTGCTACTTGCTTTTCTCCAAGTCTGTTTGATTTCAGTTTTTAGGTAGAAGTTTTGGGAGAAATGATATTTCCTGTGGCTTGAAAAATTTAAATAATTTGACAGGAAATATTTACTGTTAATATTTATCAATATTATTTAGATTTATTTTTGCTTCCACTATGATGAAAAAGTTAGATATCATAAATGACTAACACCACAATATACTAGCTCAAACAGAAGACGCCTGCAGAAATTCTTGACTCCTTTCCTTATGTGGGCAGATAGGAACACAGTTCCAAAAGTAGTACATCCTATACTTTATGAGTAATATAAGAGAACTCAACTACAACGTCCAGTGTGATACATGCAAGTTAGTCCTCAACTTACAACCATTTGTTCAAAGTTACAACAGCACTGAAAAAAATGACTTATGACTGTTTTTCACACAATCATTGCAGCATCCCTGTGGTCACATGATCAAAACTCAGAGGCCTGGAAACTTACATGTATTTATGATGGTTACCGTGTCCTGGAGTCATGTGATCACTTTTTGCAACCTTCTGACAAGCAGAGTCAATGGGGAAGCCAGGTTCACTTACTAACTTAACAGCTGAGGTGATTCACATAACAACTGGCAAGGAAGGTTATAATTTCTTAGCAACAGAAAGTTTGAGCTCATTGTGGTTGTAAATTGAGGGTTACCTGTATTGGGGTAGACAGTTGTTTACCCAGCTGACTTCTAAGCCATTTAGGGTTGGGAATTTTTAGAAGTGGAAAGACAGAATAGAAATTCCTAAGTAATTTGTAATCATCTGTGACATGATTATATTGCAAAGCACTAAAAATGTGAAATATACTGCAGCTTTACAAATTTTGAACAAAATATTAATATTATTTACACTTATAAACTATAGCAACAATTGGTTGAAATAAGCTAACTAAATGTTTAATGTCCTTTTAGAAATGGCTGTTGAGACTCTGTAGCACCCTAGAAAAACATGTAAAGTGTGATATTAGGGAAGACGTCAGACTGTTTTACAGAACTAAGGTAAATTTGCATTTTCTTTTTTTTAATCCCGGAAGATATGCATTATAACCCGGAAGATATGCATTATAAAATATGCCTCTTATCTTTTAAAATTTCTCTTTACCATTATAACAGTTTACCTTGATCAGAGCAAACACATTCTTTGATTGTTCTTAACTGTGGGTTTTGAAGCCTTTGTACTAGTTCCTACTTTCTTAGGCATGACAGTAGAAATAAAAATCTAACGCATGAAGATGAAAAGTCTGGATATCCACAAGTAGGAAATTTTGTTTCTTTCTCGGATATCAAGTCTGGCTTCAGTCGATATTCAGAAAGTAAACAGTATATAACATGTATTTAGCGATATGTTTAGAATGTGTTATATTTGGAGGTGCCAGGAAGTTTTTCGCATTGGTTTTATGTTTTTTTTTTTTTTACTGGTTTTACTGTTTTAATATTGCTTGCAAGATTCCACAGATTATGCTATATAAAATGAGTGGTTATGTAAATCTTTCAAATAAATGTACATAAAATCTAAGAAGACAAGTTTGCAAATAGTTTCCTTCTATCTCATCCATATGAGAGAAAAAAAACACACCTTTGTATCAGAACATTGTGTTACTGGTTCCATTTATTAAGATATTAATGGAAAGGGTATTTAACAGAAATGTATCCAGAACATTAGAAGCAACACTTAATTTCACAAGGTACAGGAAGTCCTCAACTTAATGACAAGATATTGGAACCAGAGTTTCACAATAAGTTACAACTTTAAGTAATAAAGTGTGACTGCATTGCTTAGTGATGGCAAGCTCTGCAATTCTGGTTGCCATTGTTAACCAAATCCCATTGTTATTAGGTAAGGCAACTTCCTGCTGGCTTGCTATGATCAAAGTCAATGAGGGAACTAGCAGGAAGTTTATTTATTTAATTTATTTATTTATTAATGGAACTTGTATGCTGCCCCATCTCCAATGGACTTGGGGCGGCTCACAACAATTAAAGCAAACAAACCATTAAAACAAAAATCCAGGTTAAAATTAACAAAGATTCAATAAAACCCAGTTAAAATTCTATTAAAACCCCCATCAGTCCAGGGCGGCCAGGTGAAATAGCCACGTTTTCAGGCCACGGCGGAAAGAGCAAAGGTCGGGAGCCACCCGGAGTTCCAGAGGGAGTTGATTCCAAAGGGTGGGTGCACCCACAGAGAAAGCTCTCTCCCTGGGGGTAGACAGCCGACACTGTCTGGCTGACAGCACCCTGAGTAGGCCCTCCCTGTGGGAACGCACAGGGCGATGGGAAGCTGTTGCTGGCTGCAGATGGTCTGCCAAATATCCCGGGCCTAAGCAAGTCCCAAGACAGATAAATGGCTGCTATTGGATGGAAGAGTGCCAGAATGCAGGGGAGGTACACAAGGATTTGGGGGAATGCATGAGAGGCACAACATGAGGCTGTGGGAAGGGATGCAGGAATGTAAGAGAGGGTTGGAGAAGGGTGTATGAGTGGGTGCGTGAGAGGTACAAGCCAGAGGATGGTGAGAAAAAGATGAGCAGGAAGGGTGCATGAATGGTTGGTGCAGCATGAACAAAGAGGGGCTGGAGAAAGATGGATGATGTGGCGAAGACTTACTCCAGCGATTTATGGTCTTCTATGCCAACTTTCTCATTAACTTTCTAGGGAGGTCAGCAGGAAGGATGCAAATGGCAATCATATGATCATGAGGCACTGTTAACAGGTCATAAGTGTGATTTGTTGCCAAGCACCCAGATCACAATCATGTGATCGCAGGGGTTCTGGGATGGCCAGAACACTGAGGACAGGTTGTAGCTGCCATTCATTCAGCACCATCCGTAGCTTTGAACAGCTACTGAATGAGTGGTCGCAGGTCAAGGTCTACCTGTAATTCATAATGCCAGCAACATTCTGTTAACTTGCAAGTGCTACTTTGCTTAAAGTCCTGGGCACGAGACTTGCCCTGCATTCTACTGTGGGATGGTTTGACTTTAAATTTGCAATAAAATTCTGTCCTTATTTCTTCCAAAGTAAGTCCTGTTATATTCCTAACCTACACTCCAAAGTAATGTAGGCCAGCAGCAATAATCATCACTTCATCTCCCAACCAATTCCTAATTTTCTGTCTCTAGGTAAAAGATTTAGTTGCTAGAACATACAGCAAATGGCAGCAAATGATACACAGTTCTCAGCTTATTCAGGTATGGTACAGTTATAATATATTTTCATATAGAATATTACATATTATCAGTTAATAATGGCATAGAAATAAAACTTTCTGGAAATAATTTTTTTGCCTCTTAAGAAGTAGACACAGTATAATAACTGGGGAATGGAGTAAAGGGATATGTAGTGTTGGATTTAGACCAATTAAGTTGATTTTAAAGCTGTGTTGGTAATGTCAATAATTTTCCACTAGTTAGTTTAGTATTTCAAATATATTTTAAATGTGTACATCTTTCCATCTAATTCCTTTGACAATCTTTTATTATAGGGTCAGATCCATGACTTTTGGGTCCCAGATACTTAAAAAATAGAGACTGGATGATCAAATGACCAACAAAATGAGTGGGAAGACTACACTATTGTCTAAGAAGAGGCATTCTTGTAAAGTGCACTTAACTCCCCCAATTACCTAATTGGGCAACTTTAGTAAACTATTTTTTAAAAGATCCATTTAACATTGAGAAAGTTGCTTCTTTCTACATGATAATAATATCTGATTTTTCTTAATTTAAATTGGACGAATACATTTTTAGAAAAATCAAGGTAGGATTATTTTGTCCTTTTTACAACAAATATGGTTCTTTCATCCTACTGTGAAGCAGAATTTAAAAACCATCATTGGTGTTTGTTTTTAGTATTGAAAATGCTTCTCTGGGGACTTTACAATAGTATCAGTTATATGGATGTGACTTTTAACTTGCATTATTAGCATATCGAATATTAGCTTTTGAAATGGAAAGAAACAGTAATTTGATGGATGACACAAAAAATTACAGACCTATACAAATTGGAAAGCAAGTTGGAATTTATTCTGTTACGAGTTTATCTCCAAGTAAATTTGGATAGTCTGTAGCTTTATATTTATAATAAAGGGGTTAAGAAATCAGTCCTAGCAAGTCCATATTGTTCAAATGTTTAGGATTGCTGGTTGTTTTTACCTAACATTCAGGTATTCATAGATATCACATGCTAATAAATTGGTGCAATAATTTGGTCAATCTTTTTTATTAGAATTCCTCTGTTTATATCAGCAGTCCCCAACCTTTCCAGCTTGGCGGCCTGGTGCCACGGGTGCTTGTGCTTGCTTGCCCATGAAGCTCCACTTGCATGAGCAAGGGCGCTTGGTTTTGCTCGGGAAGCTCCAGTCAAGCACCGTCTGCTCTCGTGAGTGGAGCTTCACACACATGGACTTGCCCATTTATCCCACAGCCCAATTTTGAACGGGCCGTGGCCCAGGGGTTGGGTAACCCTAATTTATATAACTTTGGACTAAGTATATGTATTATTTTATGACATGAACATAAAATATATTGTCCATAAGTTTCAGTCTTAATATTAATATAAATATATGTGTGTGTGTGTAAATACCGTTTGTGTGCAGTTTTAAATCTGAAAACTTGCACTGCCATATCTGTAAATAAACAAAATTTTAGAAGCCATACAAATTAAATGCTTTAGAAATAGTATACATAAAATAGTTATATTTACATTTAAATCAAGGTACTCATGTCAAATAAAGAAATGGCAAAATAAATGGTATAATTTGCTATTATCTTAAATGTGCAATAAGCACCAATAAATCATTCAGGAATTTTATCTTTATTCAATAGATGGTGGTTTATGCCTCAGAAGTGTAAATCTGGTTCTGAATTTTAATGTTGAGAGTTTCATTAATTCCAATATAAAGTTTTAATGGAAAATGCTACTTTAGAAGGAATAAGTAAGGATATGTTGTTGTTGTTGTTGTTGTTGTTATTCAGATGGGGTAGATTTTATTGTTTCTTCCTGCATTCTGTGCCTAGGGTACAAATAATTCCTGTGTGCAATTAGAAATAATTTCTGTTCTCATGAGATGCTGTACACTTCCTCTGCATTCTCTTGGCTGCAGCACCTTAGATTGCATTGAAGACTATTGTAGAAAGTGTAGTAACTGCCAAAAGGTGAATGCTTAGGAAGACAGCTATCCTAATAGAAACAGCCTGGTTATATCTGCATGATCATAAAGGCTTGGACAGAAACTTTTTTTCTTAAAATGTACTTTTGAATGACCTGTTGTGCCAAACTTTTAAAGAGAATACAGAAAATAACATTTCAGTCGCAATGTATATTGTGTATAGTATGTAATGTGTATATGTAATACACATGTACATTATGTATATTGTGTAATATCTATATATTATGTGAAGAAATATGATTTTATTTCTTTTTTATAGTTTTTCAAGAATGTTCAGATGAAACATCCAATTTAACCACTTTAAGTTCAAGAATAACATTTACATTAACATTGATTACATCTCTAAAATTTCACAGTAAATTGCAAACATGTCATCCTTAGTATATTCTAAAAAAACCAGATATAGTGAGGATAGAACCTCCCTTTTGCAAAAATAACATTTTAATTGTAGGGTCTTAATAGCATACGAGGCTAATTCATTCCTGTTGTTTATATGTGTTTATATTCTTAATTATTAAACAACAGGCATGTTAGTTCTTACAAACTCTGTAAGCGTAATCTCTCCAAAAAATGGTATTTATAGATCAGACTTCTCCAGCTATCCAAGTTCCTGGTATTCCTAATATTAAAATTCTGTTTTGTTTTGTCTTGAATGTGCATTTTTTTATTTAGGCTGCACAACCTAGTTTGAGATTTATACAGTATATGAATGTATTGCTTGAATGGAACTTAAGTTATAAAGTATTTAATTCTTGCTTTAACAAGGTGTGCGAACTAGGCTCTTATGTTTTTCACAAACCATGTATGTTCTAAGAAAAGTTAATCCAAAAAGTAGAGAACCATAAACCAATAAAAACACAATACATTAGCTATGGTTGTGCTTCAGTTTTCTTAACTTTGTTATCTTCATGTGTGTTGGACCTTAACTCCCATAATACTCATGTTATGAAAGACTAGTATAATATTCTGATTTCAAGTTAGAACTTATCTAAATAATACATTTAGGCTTTTGAACATAAAAATCAAAGAATAATTGTTGGACACTAATGCAAAATACTTCTAAAAGTTCAAAAGTACTGTTTTTTATAGGTATAATTGTATACTTTGTAATTGTACATAACATACTGAATCATAAATCAGCCAGGCATATTTTAGCTTAATGGATCCTGGACAAAGCTGAACAAGTAAATTGATTTAATGAGAGCGATGTTCCCAAACTTTCTTGGACTTTCCTGGGCATCCTTAGTATCTTTGTGGGACAGTTAGGACAATCACATTTATTAAGTACGGTAGTAACATAAACCCTAGGGTGCTGCAATGCAGTTTAGGAACTGCGCCAGTAAGATACCATGTTTCCCCGAAAATAAGACCCTGTCTTATATTTTTTTGAACCCCGAAATAAGTGCTTGGCCTTATTTTTGGGGAGGTCTTATTATTTTGGGGAGCAAGGAGCAAGATGGAGCTCCTCTTGACATTTTACCTGATTTCCAGCTCTGTCTTCCTAATCCTAACCAGAGGAAATGGCTGGAACTGGCTGCGCATGCGTTTCAATATTTTCAGGGAGGGCTTATTTTCAGGGAGGACTTATTTTAATGCATGTGCTCAAAAGCCCGATTGGGCTTTTAATCAGAGGATGTCTTATTTTCAGGGAAACAGGGTATGATTAAATTTAATCTTAATAGGTCCTATCAACAGCCCAAGTCAGCAATCAAATAAGAAAAATATAGCATTCTCTCACTCTGTTCCTTTTTCGAGGGCCTCTACATTATCACCAAAACCTTATGAGGACTCACACATAAGTCACTGGCATACATTCACCACCACCCCCAACCCCAAAGTTACTATTTGCTGTATCTAAAATGAAATAATTATGATAATATACCCACCTGCATTGGAAGGGTAATAACACTCACAGACTATTATTGACCTGCCTATAATAAGATCCAGTTTTTCAGTTTGGTTTCGGTTTAGTTTGGTTTATAATAAGATCCAGTTTAGTTTCCAGTTGGACATGCCTGGAAAGGGAAAACCTTTACCTTTATAATAAGATCTCAAGCTGGGAATCATTGATACCTGAACACCTGTAACATACCGTTACAGTAATCTAAAAAGTAAATTGTACATTTTGGGCCCAACCACCAAGATTGTAACAGAGTCAGCTACAAGATAAGCATTGATGATATTCTATAACTTTAAAATCCTGGCTGTTGCCCAGGCCTTGGGTAGAGTGTCCCAAGGAGCCCTATAGGTGATGATTGTGTCCAAGGGAGTGGGACACAGGATTTATTTGCTTGCTTTTTTTTTTTTACTGTTTTCTTTATTTTTGATTTAAGCTGCCCAAATTTCAAATCAAATTTGTATTATAGCCATATACCAACATAGCTGCCAGAGTTGTTTTGGAGTCAGGCAGCCTCTCCATCTGATATTATGGAGACCAAGCTAATACAGAGAACAGTACTTCTCTAAATAATATACTACTGGAAGTATATAAATGAGGGTCTTTAATGGAGGCTATTCCTTCAATTCAGTACTCTCTCTTAGGCATATTTCCATTGTTGTTTTTATATAATAAGAGTTAAAATTAAGGAAAAGATTCATAAATTGAATACCGGAATATGTTAAAAAGCTATTGTGATCGAAGGATTTGTATCCAAGCATGCTGGCTGGGGAATTCTGGGAGTTGAGATCCACATATCTTAAAGTTGCCAAGGTTGAGAAACACTGTTTTAAATTGACCATAAATAGATCAGTATATGAATTCCAGCTACAAATGAGCTTTCTGGTAAGGCCATCTCTCTAAATATTGTACATTAAATTTCTTTTTGCTTAGCTTATTACTTTTTAAAAAAATTTAAACATGCCAGCAGTATATGCAAAATGAAATTTATTGCTGTTCTATTGAAGATTCCAAATTCAAGCGAGACTTTGGCAACCTGTCTTGATGGTTTTATTCCTTATTTCCATCTGATGCGCCTTTTTTCTGTTCATGTATTTGCAAATGTTAGTGCAACTTTAAATAATGTACATGAAACTACAATTCAGATTCTTATGCACCCTTGCTTAATATATTGATTGCAAAATGTGAATAATTTCCTTTCAGCCTCTCTTGAATCTAAACCTATAGAGCCAGAAAGTTTGCAAATGCATGGACAGAATTTATAGTGATGATTAGACCAGAATTCAGTGGATTTATCTAGCTATTAATATCAAAACTATTCTAGTTATTTCTTCTTAAAAAAAACCCTTATGGCTTTGAATTTTTCCCCCTGCATAATTATAGATGTCTCTTAATTATACAGCCAGTTAATTTTTATTTAATGCTGCTAGATATTTTGTTTTTACTAAGCAGTTTCTTGTTTGTGTTTGTACTGATGTAATATGTAATTAAAACTTTTTAAAACAAATGTACTATCAAGTCACTCTTGAAAGCTGGAAATAGCAATGTGCTGAAATTGAAATGGAAGAGGTTATGCTGTATCGTTATATAAGATAAGATTCAACGTTTTTAAAATTCTTTGTACTGGATTGTCAAAATTATGGAACATGAAACAATCACAAGTCCCCAAATTCATAAAAGTGAAACTGAGAACTTGGACTCAGCTTCTACTTGCCTCCAGAAGTTGTGGGTACTCCAACACTGGAGGCTTTTAAGAAGAGATTGGACAACCATTTGTCTGAAATGGTAGACGGTTTCCTGCCTGATCAGGGAGTTGGACTAGAAGACGTTCAGAGTCCCTTCCAGTTCTGTTAATCTATTATTCTGTTACTGTATAAGAACAGTTAGGAAGTTGGACAGGGTGTTCCTGATGGCCCAACTGTTCAGAGCTCAAATCTTGCTCTACTTTCTGAGATCTTTAAACTTTTGTTTTGCCTAGAGCACGGGTGTCAAACTTGCACCGTCACATTGCCATCACGTGATGTATTGTGACATTTTTCCCCATTCGCGGAGTTGGGGCGGGCATAGTCTGCACATGATGCATCCGGCCCGTGGGCTGCCAGTTTGACCCCCAGCCTAGAGCAACACAAAACCTTGTTTTGCCTGCACAACAGGTAGCCCACCAAGCATAGTGTGGCCCACCTTTTTTTAAAAAAGATAAATTTAGAACCATTGCAATTGCCAACTCCAGTGCTGGTGTGGCTCCACTAGCTACTGTATAAAACAACTCATCCGTGCAGCAATTATTTCTTGGTGGCCCAGAAAGATTTTTAATTTTCCAATGTGGCCGTTTCCCCTCTTGGTCTAGTGTATGCCCCCATGACACTGACTGAGCAGCATACAATAAAACCAACAATTAAAACATTATACAAAAGCCGTGTAACATAAATATATATATAAAAAAAGGAAATGAAAAGAAATGCATTGCAATATTATACATGATACAGCCAATGCATGGGCTCCCTATCGGCAGGGGATCCCCAGGCTTACTGAAAAAAACATGTTTTAAGAAATTTTTTGAAAAGTCAATAGAGTCTGAGCCAACCTCATTTTAAGGGGGATGATGTTCCACAAGGCGAGTCCCACAGCAGAAAAGACCTGTCTCCTGGATCCCATCAGATGGAAATCATTAGTGAATTGGAATCTGTAGCAAGTTCCTCCTACAAACCTGATGGGATACTGTACCTGATAGAATGTAATAGGGAGTGGCAGTTCCGAAATAACCTGGCCCCATGCCTTCTTGACCTTTAAAAGACAAACCCTTGGTTGCAAAGTTATTTTTTTCTTCACACTATGAATGGTCCCTAAGTGCGGACTACCTGTTACGTTAACTCTGTCTTTTGTAATTTATATTGTAATGTTCTAGTGTTGCACGTGAGGCGCCACCAGATGGTGGTATTGTTGATCTGTCACATTTTTCTTCTTTCCAACCCAAATGAACGCAGCAGATATTATGTAATTTCTAGGTTCCGTATTCTGTCCTTCACCTGTCTGTTAGCATGAGGACACACTAAATCATACAGTACTGGAGTAAATTGGATATGGGGAGAGAAGCCAGTTCAAGAAAGACTGAAAATGGGCCAGATTAGGTTGGGGGCTGCAGAAGAAGAAAAAAGTCTAGAAAATCTCCTGAGGGGAGATGGGACACAATTAAGCAGTACCTCAGAAGGTTGGTGTCTGCTCCATTCTAAGCTCTCCTCCCTTCTGTTTTTACATGCCTCAGGGCACAGCATATACAGTCTGCCTACTGCTTCCCAGTGCACACAAATACATGGATACCAATAGTGGGTTTCAAAACCTGGGGCTACTGGTTTGCTATTGGTAGTGCGTGGGTGCGCTCACTTTGTGAGTGTGCGGCACTTCTGTGCATGCACAGATTGTTCTTGATGATGTCTGGGCGGGTGGGTGGAGCTTCCCGCTGCCGCCACTACCAATTCGCGTGAACTGGGAGCAACCCACCACTGATGGATACTACAATAAAGATGTATACCCATGAAACATATTACTTCATTACAAAGAAGAAAATACAGTTTTCTATTCTATGATCACTGCTGGCAGGTGGTGGGAAGAATGCTGGAAGTTTTTACCTTGTGTTTTGTTCCAATCCAGTGGCATGTTGGAAAGAAACTACTTTGGGATTCTTTTTTTATTCATTTATTTATATCCTGCCTCTTATTATTTTCACAAATAATGCAAGGCTCTTATCCTTGATACCCATATCAAACTACTTTCCTCCTATTTTCCCCACAACAATCCTGTGAGGTGAGCTGGGCTGAGAGAGAGATACTGGCCTAAGGTTACCAACTTGTTTTCATGGCTAAAGCTGCACTTGAACTCACAGTCTTTTGCTTTCTAGCCTGGTGCCTTAACCACTAGACCAAATTATCTATCTATCCATCAACAAGATACATCTTGTAAACAGAACAGAATGAAACCAAATCACGGAGGGGGGGAGCAATACTGAATTTGAAAATGGGTCAGATCTTGCTAGAAGATGCAGAAAAAAACATTCTCCAAAGTTTCTTCAGTGTTGCTTATGAGAGAGTCAGTTGAATAGTGTTGGCAGCTGTTCTATCCTAAGTTCTCCACCCATAATCACACAATCCAAGGTCCAGGCAAGTTGGCCAGGGGGTACCACCCACTGAGACATCTTTCTATTTGTTTTTTAATTACTTTAATCTTGTTTATTTATTTTACCTTATCCAAAATGCTTGTTCCACAGTCCACTTGTTTTCTTACTAGGAGGATATTTCTTTTTTATGGATTTATTTTCAATTAGTTTTCATCCAGCCCATTATTGCTAACAAACATTTCAGGACATTAATATTTCCCTGACAGTAGATGAAAAGGCAAAAATGGACCCTTGCATATTGGTATTGGGGTATCCTAAATACCCTAATGAGCTTACCCAAAGGTTTCATTTAGGTGTTGAATAACATGGGATGTAAGAATGGATCCTGAGGAATATTGTGTACCAAAGTTCATAAACCAAACTTTTTATATCCAACTTCGCCACCTAAAACCAACTTCTGAAGAAGGATAGGAAGCATTTAGAAGCATTACTTTCTAAACATAAATCCCTATGAAGACGTGCAGAAGATTATGATGGTCAATGGTAATGAACACTGCTGAGAAAAGGACTGCTTCAGTCGTCTACTTCCCCACTCCACTAGACAGTTTAAAAATATCCTAGTGCAGAATCCAGAACTGAAACCAGAATGAGGGGTCCTTGAAGCTCTCTGAGCTTAGTTGTTTTCTTGCAGATGTTTCATGATCCAAATTAGATAACATCAGTGCTAGCTCATCAGTGCTAGCTCACTAGCACTTATGATGTTATCTAGTTTGGTAATGAAAACCCTGCAAGAAAACAAGTTCAGAGAGCACCAAAGACCCCTCATTTCCATAAACTATAAATATTCTCCTTTATTGAAACCAGAATGCAATAGATAACAGTTTAATCCAATTGATATCTGAATTAAAATGAAGGATTAAATAAATATATTAAGAATTTAAAACTTGGCAAAATAACTTTTTCTCAACTTCCTAAATGCTGGGAGAGTGTAGGCAAAGAGCATTTCTCCCGGGGTTATATTTCATAGCCTGGGAGCCATAAGGAAGGTGTTTTCTTGCAGAAGGGGCATTTCTGCTGAACTGAGTAACCAGGCAAGTACAAGGAGAGTCATCTTCAAATACAGCGGCTCCAGCATTTATGACTTAATCAATCAATCAATCTCAAAGCTTTGAACTCTGTCTGAGAGACAACTTGCAACCAGTGCAGTTTTTAAATATAGGGATCATGTAATTCTTGTATCTTGCATTTGTCAACAACCTGGATGTTGCATTTGCACCAATTATAATTTCTGGACACTTTTTAAAAGTAAGTATGCTAACTGGGATTGCATCTCATAAAAGAGATTGGCCAGTAAGAACAGTGTTTGCAGTCAAAACTGCTTTATAGTGATTCCCTCTTTGTTTGCTTTATGTGCCTTCTTTGAGTTACTTCATGTACTTCAATTTGATTAGATGCTAAAGGCTGTCACTGCTTTCAATTCCTGAACTTTTTTTCTGCATTATGCTTTTCCTTAGAATTCAACTAGACCAGGAAGTTTGGCTTCCTTTCTAAATGCAATTCCCTAATCAAGTTGTTCTTTAAAAAAGATAAGCAGCAGTCTGAAGAAATCTTCGTGCAAATAGCTCTATTACTTTTATATCTCTGCACACATATTTATACTGCATAAAACTAATCTCAAAAAAAATCTCTTGAGGTTTACCCAGAGTACATCTTGCTTACTTTTTTATGCCCTACCTCTAGTCCAGCCTCAGAGTAATTTAAGGATCATGTACACTTTGTTCAGAAGTCTAACTATTATTGAATCTTGTTATTTGTTCTTTTCCCTTTGACATCTGACAGGTAAAAGATTAATCCAGAAATGGATTGCTCTCAAATATTTCCGTTCATCCTTGTTCAACATTAACTTTGGTCCATTCTGATGTCTCTCTTAGTATCAGGAAGAGAATATAAAAGATCTGGAAAGCAACTTTAAATGTCTAGCCAAGTATCACTGTTTAGCTATCTTTTAACCTACTTCTATGCAAAATCCTGACAGTTTAGCTTGAGTTTTTGCCTCTATATAGCTGCAGTTAAAAGCTTGGGGAATAATAGCTTGTTGTGCCCACAGTCTAATTCTCTGTATCTTTGTAGATGTCTACATAGTAATCACTGCTAAGCTTTAAACTAAGAATACACATCAGGAACCATGATCCATGCAGTATAAATGACTCAATGAAATTATAAGCTATTAATACTAAAAATTATTTTAATTAAAGTATCAATTCCTTATTTTAAATATAATTTATGAGTAATTAATGATAAACTGGAAAATCATGTTTTTAGTATTTTAGATCCTTTGTTTACTTATTTGCATTTTACTTTTTTATTCTTTTTACTTACTCTTTAACTTTCTTTGC